CAGTGAACTAATTCATTAGAGCCCTACATCATTCCCAAAAACTAAATAGCCCAAGTCCATTTATGCAAGCTGCCAAAGAAAAAAACGTTTTTATTTGTTAATAAAGTTCAAGTGCCTAGAGAAGAATAACAGACCATAATCTATTTCGTCCATCAAAAATTATGCCAATTTAAGCAGATTAAAAAGAAGTACTACATCTGTTTCATTGGTTAGACAAAAGTCAACAATTAGTAATGGACACATACAGTTGAAGACAGATTTTGTTGGAAAGAAGACATAAGTAGAAACACTGAGGCCTTAAGAATTTGACTTTAAAAAGTATATTAACAGAAAGGACTTGATGTTCTTTTCCAGGTTTTTGTTTCCAGTACATTCAACTTGAGAAGCTATTTTTTACACCAAAATGTCTGCACCATTAGCTACTGTAAAAGGAGAGTTCACATCCATACTTCTTGAAAATATATGATTTTAGTGTCATGAATGTATTTTAAGATCACTGAGCAACTTTTCAATCTCAAGACAAAGCCATTCTGCTTGTCCTTCTTGGCAGACCCCATTAAGCCACTGCCTGAGAAACACCTGCCCCAATACTGAAAAAAGCACGTTTTTGCTTTGGGTAGTTTTTAGATGCATATTGGTCATAAACAAAATAACTCATGTATATAGCATAGATTTTATTTGTAAAATGAAATTAATGTTTCTTACCTCACATCTATTTCAAAGGCATGAGATCTCTAGCTTATACTAAGAACTTACTCTCAAGTATACTAATGATGAATCTGGCTTTTTGAAGTCTTGATAAACATCAGCAGCCATTTTCACATTACGCAATTTGTAAATGATATATTTCTCTTCTCACACCTCCTACTGTAGATTAGCAATACCAACTGATCCAAATCCAAGACTGAATTAACACATACATCTCATTGTTTTTATTATTTCCATTTTAAAATTGTCTTAGTTTGGTAGCTCTCTGTTGTACTACACTAATACCTGGAACTGATACGGTTTTGTCTTCAGGAGTCATTCATGTGAAAAGTTCCTTTATGTTCTTATTTTGTGACTGAGTTCTTTTTAGGAAATTGAAAAATGTTGCTGGCACTTTGTGAAGCATATGGGAGGTTACAAGACTCACTAATGTTTTCATGTCCTGTTTATGTATGTTGAACATACAAACAGATGAGGGTTTATTTGATGAAGATTTTCTTAAGCTTCCATAAATTCAAGCTTTCTAATATCTTACTGATGCTCTGAGGAGGTAAATCAAACTTAGACTGTTTTTAATGGAAAATCAAATTTATTCATTCAGGCATCTTGACTAGTGGAGTATAATTCCTGCTTGCTCAGCTGTTATTGCAGCTCCAGCCCTTGAAAGCGTAAGTACCAGAGAAGAAGCTACTGCCTATTCAAACTGTTCTGAAGAGCGTTCCTGTTGCATGCAGTCTTCAAGCTGCAGCAACATGTCCATAATGACATAGAGCCAACCTTCCTGGTGCGCCAACAATTTTATTTTCTTTTTGTATTGCTCCTCTAGTTTGTGAATTGCCCATCTCTTTTCTCACAATCTCCACATCTTAAACATCTGTAGTATGGAAACATTGCAAATGTTATACTTGCAACCACCTATTTCATTCAATTTGCAAAAAACAAAATAAAGAACTACTGCATAACCCTCCCCCCCCACAAGAAACATATGAAATTGCAACAGATTATGAGAAGTATGCAATCTGCAAAGTAAACGTATGCATACCTTTGGCATAATAGCTCCACAGGCAACACACAGATAAGCAAACTTCCCCACAGCTATTCCTCAGAAGTGCAACCCACTGCTATATTCCCTCTCAAACACTCAGGTTGGCTTTCCCAAAGATGATCTAACACCCTTAGGGAGCAGATCACCCACACAGGCTCAGGAAATTATAAATGGGCTTTCTCTTCTCCTTGGATTGCTTCAAGACTTAGGAAAGCCTCCGTGCTCAATATCCCACGCAACACAGCTTCCACTGCGCCCTAAACAGAAATGGGCTGGCACAGAAGAGAAATCAAGAGACAAACTCAAAGCTATGAAGATGTACCATTTATTTCAGTTTTGTTTGTTTGTTTTGTTTATGCAAGGACATTTCCTGACCACTTTGCATGGGTGGTTTGAATAGCTTTTCATAGTCCTTTGAGAAGTGACACAGTAATGATTTATGAAACTTTCTAACTAGAGGGAACACACATGAGAATATAATGTGACAAAACTGGCAAACCACCAATAAACCAGATGAGAGAACATTAGTGAATTATGTTTGGCATCAGAAGTCCTGCTGTTGGGATAAATCAATGAACAGTTGTCCCTGCTATCATCACAGATCCCCTCCTTTCCCTAACCCCCTAGCTGGTCTTCCCAAGTGGTACTCTAAAGAAGACTGGAAATACCAACTTTTAAAATGTCAAGAGATTTGTCAACCATGGCAATGTACTAGAATTGTCATATGACAGTTCTTTAATTCTGAAACTGGAGATATAGACTTTCATGCCATCCAACCCCTGTGTGTACATCACATGTAAACTCTGCTTGCTTGAGTTTCATACAAGAATGACTCTGTAGGTATTTTGAAAGCACCACCTTAGCATTCAAATTTCAAAAATTCAATATGCTTAAAAACTGCATTTTAAGACAATACTGGGATTTGAACCAATGTCCTCTGTTAACCCAGACCAGTCAGTTATGATACAGTATTTTAACCCCAGGTATTCCATGTGGTTATACAGCAGATACAAACTAAAGACTTTTATAAGTTTAGTTTCTGAGTGAGCCAAGTGAACTGACTCTCTCTGCACCTCAGTGCAGAAGTTACACAATGGATTAACAAAATGCACGCATGTGCTCTTGCTGTAGAATTCAGCTTTTATTCACTTCACTGCTTTACGTCCTTAGGAGTTTGTCAGTTTTCAGTGTTCCATAATAAATTCAGGATCTGTGTAAATCACTACAACACTATTTCATTTTGAATTAGTCTCATTCTTACATCAGGTATTTGTTTTAGTTGGCTTAGTGAACTGCAAACTTCCCTTGGTAAGACTTACTGAACAAGGGACCCTTTGTAGAACAGAGCAACACTAACCTTTTATCTGAGCTTACAGAACCTTTAATTTGGGACTTGTGGCTTTACAGTGTTGTGAGATTTCCTTCTGCACTCCTCTTAACTGCAAACTCGAGGTCAAGTTGTACCTTTACTTACACCCAGGCAGTAAACTCACATCCCAAATTGTAGTTTGCGGAACAAACACTTCAGGTAGCATCAAACTGCACTTTTTTTTCAGTTAGAAGAGCAGCAAATGCTCCAATAAGAATGAATAAATTACAGTCCCATGTACATTTTATATTCATTCCAGCTTCTTTCAGAACTGGAGACTCAATGCAACAGATACGTGGTTTCTGCCAAATCCGCACATAAATAAACTAAACTTGCTGATGGCACGGGAACAGCATGATGCTCTTCTCCATGCCCAGCACTGTCAAGGCAGAAGCAAAGAGGAGTGGCTGCTTCAACAAAGCTGCTGCGCTGCCAAGTAGCTGTACATGGAGCTGCTGCTCCGCATTTCTCCAGCAGCAGCCTGCAGAAGTTCAAGGAACTCAGGTGGTGCTGTGCTGGCTGAAGGAGCTAACACAACCAAAATTAAAAAGCAATGAGAAGTAAAGAATTACAACCTTAATCAGCATCCAAACCCCTACCATTTATGTGCTCGCTCAAAGAAAAACAAACCAAAATACTCTTCTTGCTTCTACTGTGGCTCTCGCCTGTAAAGTGATTATGTATGAAGGAAAGAATTCAGTGTGACTTTCAGCTTTCATGAATTAGCAGAGGTTTCAAATAAAGAGGAGAAAAAAAAAAAAAACAACAAAAAAACAACAAGATCTATCTGAGTTACAGACTGCCTGATCTGGTAGCTGTTGTCACAATAAACACGTAACCCATGACTTACCATCCATGTGTACTTTCACTACCAAGCACAACAAAGAAAGTAAGCACCTTTTGCAGCCAAAGCCCCAAGTACAATCTTCACCTATGTCACACTGTTCTCAAGTATTCTTTGCACTATTGCACCCAGGAGCTACACTCATAAGCAGGCACACCACTGCACTAAGGCACAGCACTCTCCTCTACATAAAGTTTCAATTAGCCTTTAAACTCAATTATACTGCACAGAAAAGAATCTGGAATGCTGGATGCAAGCTGTCATGTTTCATAAGCCATTTAATAATATTATATTTTATTTTTTCCTATTGACATTTAGTTTGGTTTTGAACTCAAAATATGAAGCCAAAAGAGCAAAATAAATTATCCTGTGAAAGTTAACAAATTATTCCATTGTTTTTAACAGCACTGGGCAAATCCCACTGAATTAGGCATGAATTTGTCACATATGCAGCAAGGAACTTAAAACTAATACATTGTTCCCATTGCAAATCTTATTTTTAGAGGTTAGAAGTTCTAAACTCGCTCCAGGCTTAAGCATGAGATACGCATTTATTCCAGAAGGGGAAAAAGAAAAAAAGAGAGAAGGAGAGAGAGAAGAAAGGAGGAAAGAAGGAAAGGAGGAAAGGAAGGTGACTGACAACTTGCTCTGCGTTTCTGATCACGACCAGCTGGATGAGGGAGACCCTTTGTGGACTACCGGACTAACCTGATGGCTCCGTCTGACAAACTGCATGACCTGAGGGACACTTGCACTGCCTCCTCGCCCTGCCCGCGACGAACCTGGCACCAGGGTTATTTTTGGGAAGCCGTGCCACAGCCCGAGGTGCTGCCCGCCTCGGCCAGCGCCCTCTCTGCCCGCAGCAGCACCCCGGGCAGGGGCAGGCGCCCTCCCCACACCTCCACCCCTTTCACCGCGAACCCCAGCAGTGCCCCCCCGACACCGCCGCCGCCCGGCCGCCCGCTGTCCCCCCCGGGACGCGGCGATCCCCGAGAGGCACCCCGCTAGGTGAGCCGAGCCGCTCGGCGACTTACGGCGCTGGCAGAGTCCCGGCACGGCCGCCAGCAGCCGGGCCGCCCCGAGGAGGGCCCCGGGGCCGCGCTGGCACTTGGGCACGGAGACGATCCCCGCGGTGAGGCACGCCAGCAGCGGCACCCACATCGTGCGGCGCGCTCGGCCCCGCTCCCGGTCCCGCTGCCTCTCCTCGGGGCCGCGGCTCGGCGGCGCGGCGCTCTCAGTCCCGGCCCCCGCGGGGGCGGCGGCGGCGGCGGCGGGGCCGGGGGAGGAGCGGCGGCGGCGGCGGCGGCGACGGGCCCGGCACAGGTAGGGCGCGGGGCGGCGGCACCTCAAGGGCAGCGCCCGCCGCTCCCCGCGAGGGGCTGCCCCCCCCGGCGGCGGCGGCAGCGGCGGCGGCGGGGCGGCCCCGGGCGGGCGCGGAGGACGGCTGCCTCCATCCGCCTCCAGCCCGAGCGCCCTGCCCTGCCCTGCCCTGCCCGGCCCGGCCCCGCGGCTCCCGCAACGAAACGACCGCCGCCGCCGCTGCCCCCGCCCGCCCCCGCCCCGCCGCCGGTGCGCCTCGGGCCCGCGGGTGTCCCCCCCTCTCCGCTTGCCGGGAGGCTGCGGCGGGGCAGGGCGAGGGCGGGCGGAGGCGGGGCGGCGGCGGGCGGTGAAGTCACGGCGCCCGCCCGCGCCGCTTTGTTCGGCGGAGGATGGCGGAGACCGTGGGGAGCGCCCCTCGCCACCGCCTCGGGACCCCCCCCACATCGTACACAGACCGCAATCACCCCGCCGCCCTTCCCTCGCGATTTGTGTGTACCCGGAGTTTCCGCCCCTCCGGGCGAAGTGGGAATAACGCAAAGGTTAGAGCCGTGCCCTGGGCGGCGCGGAAAGTACCTCGCCGTGCGGGCACGGAAACCCCCGGCCCGGGCTAGGTGCGCGGCCTCTCGGCCTCCTGTCACCGCCTCCCCGGCCAGGGCGCCGCTCCCGGAGCTGCCGTGGCGTCCCCCAGGCAGGTGACACGCACCTGTGCCGGCCTGACGGGCTCGGGTCCTGTGGCCGTCACCGTGTCACCGCCTCGTTTGTAGCATTACCGAGCAGGTGGCACAGCGAGCCGTATCCTCAAATAATGCCTCAACGTGATGTGCCAGTCTGTCAGCGCAGGGCACAACATTAAAAAGTCATTCCCGTGCATATGGCATTAAATGAACTGTGGTCAGCTTTGGGCCCCTCACTACAAGAAGGACATCGAGGCCCTGGAGCGTGCCGAGAGACGGACTGTGAAGCTGGTGAAGGGTCTGGAACACAAGTCCTGTGAGAAGCAGCTGAGGGAAATGGGGTTGTTCAGTCTGGAGAAGAGGAGGTTCGGGGGAGACCTTACTTGATCTCTGCAACTGCCTGAAAGGAAGGTGTGGGGAGCTGGGGGTCAGCCTCTTCTCCCAGATAAACAGTGTTAGGACTAGAGAGAATGGCCTCAAGTTACGCCAAGAGAGGTTTAGGTTGGAAATGAGGAGACATTTCTTCTCAGAAAGAGCAGTCAGGCATTGGGACAGGTTGCCCAGGGATGTGGTGGGGTCACTATCCCAGAGGGTGTTCAAGGAAAGGTTGGACGTGGTGCTTTGGGTCATGGTTTAGTGGGTGACATTGGCAGTACGGTGATGGTTGAAGGTCTCCTCCAACCTTAATGATTGTACGATTCTAACACTGTGCTCTCTTACAGTCCTTACAAATAAAAGGCTGTCAAAGCATTTTCGGACCCTGTGCCAAACCTTGTGGCACTGAGATCAGGATAGGCTTGTCGACTGCATGTCAAAGGTCAGAAACTGAAGATGCACTGGGTTTGTGCAAAGTCACTGAGGAGGGGATGGCAAAGGAGCAGTCCTATACTCCCACTCCAGGGATTTTTAAATGCTGTATCATTGTTCTGCTTCATTTTGGAAAAATCCCCTCTTTCAGACCTTGAGTGTCATTCTTAAAGCTGCCACAGCTCGAATGGGGATATGGTGTGTGACAAAACCATATACAGTGATGGTCACATAAAAGGGTAGCATCCACATGACTTCAGATGTGGTGGCATTCTTGGTCTAATCACTCTATGGTTTCAGAGATCACAGTTTTAACACTATACAATGATGAGCAACTTGTCTCATGAGGACTCAGATTGGTGTAGTTCTTTGAAATGACACATTCGTGGCAGGCAAGCTAAACTCAATTGACTCCTGTTCATGTTCACCATGATGTCTAAATCCCACCTCATGATGTTGCAGATTCATGATGATTCAAGTTTATCTTGAAAAGGGTCCAGAATAAGACAAACAAGTTCAAGGAAATGTCTTAATAAAAAATAAAAAAAATCCAAGCAGAAGCAAAAGTTGCAGATAGAAAACTGGGATTTTTGCCTGCAGAGTCTAAATAGTGTTGAAGGGAGGAAGAATATGCCTAATACTCCATATGATGTATTTTGTATGAACATTGTTGTCAGATCAGAATTTGAATGCTCATAGAAGCATCATGAAGAAAATGGTTCTGTCATCAACAGCATGAGTTGTCTTGTGAATTTCTAGTCATAACCTAGTCATTTCATCATACAAATAGGAAATTGAGTCCTTACATGTACCGCTTCTCGAGAGAATGATGTGCAAGGATTTGGCATTTGGGCAGACAGGCAATATCTACAGTGTAACATGGAAAAAATAGACAACTTTCATATAAAGTCTGAGAATAAGGTAACTAAAATGAACACTGAGAACATAACTAAAAGGGCAGATCAATAATGGCTGAGAACTATTCACCATGAATACTGAAAGACATGGGTATCAACAGTAAAAAAGAAGCCAAGAGTTGAAGGTGCCAATAGTTGAGGCCACTGTAACTGTTCAGAGTAGTCTGTTGGTTTATGTAAAATGTGTCTTTCCCTTACTTCTTTACCTTCATTCCTCACATAGTGGGAGACAAAGACTTCAGAAGATATATTCTGTAGTGATGGCATCTTTAAATACACTGCTGGTTAGTGTTTGGAATGCAGTAATATAAGCTGCATCTCAGAAGATGTTACGCAGATTTGGATAGCAATTCAAGTTTTACAAATTGACAAACCTAATCGTGTAATGTCACGTAGGAGACTTGGAACAAGGAACTTAAGACGACTGGAACTGGATGTAAGCATCAGTCTGTTGTTCTACCCACAGGACCATGAATGCTTGAGAAAATGTCATTGTGGAATCTCCGTCCTTGGAGATAACTGAAACTCAGCTGAACAAGTTCATGGGCAACCTGATCTTATTGGTCGTGTGTTGAGCAGAGGGCTGGTTGGGCCTCTTGGAGCTTTTTCTAGCCTAAGTTACTCTGAATTTCTATGGTGAAAGCTGTTTAATTCTCTGTTATTATATTGCATGTATACCTTATTTCATGAAGTTTTAAAAGGGTGCTTTCTTTATGGTACTTACCTTTGTTTTCCTGCAAAGAGGATATAATTGTCTGTTACAACATTAGCCCACAGCCTCTCTTTTCAGGAAACAGTTTTGAAAATGTTGAATCTGCAATGAATGTTCAGTAAAGCTGGTCAAAAAACCCAAAACATTTCTTACAAAAACCATGTTCCTTTTTTGGTTGAATAATCCCGACCATCTTTCATGTGCCATTTCATGGGGGAGAATCCAAACCAAGATTGCAAAGGGGAGAGTGATGGTGTTTTACAACTTCTAATACCAAAACTTTTTAAAATGAAAAATGTGATAGGTGTTCATTAGCTGGTCATGTGATTTCTTAGATTATCATGACATCTTCAATACTGTTAAAAACCCCATAGAAAGCATTTCAGTATACTTAAATTGATTGCATTTCCCTCCAACTTCTCTACTTTTTTCACATTCCTATGAGACCTCACTTTGAATTGCTACTTTTTTAGTTAATAATTCAAAACTCTGCTGGGGCACAGTAATTTTTCTGAATTTGATGGTTTCACTTGATGTTACTGACATTAATGTGCAAATTCAATTTTTTTTGCTATATAACTAAATAAAAGGATCACATGCTTGTCTGTCAGATACAATTATATTCGCTATAGCTTGGGTTTTTTTAAACAATATTTGAATCTAAACTGCATCTGTTTCGTATAAAGAAGTCAGTGTATTTTTCAAATCTTCTGTAAGCCATCAGTTTAAAATGATGGAGGAATTCAAATTCAATTGCTGTTCCCAAGAAACTGATTGCCAAGAAGTCATAGACCTCTCTTCCAGCAATGTGGACTGTGAACAATCCACCTATGCTGATTTTTTTTATATTCAGTAAAATTCTATATAAAATTCCAACTTCCCTGTATAATACATAATCATATTTTTAAACAATATGTACATCTTTTCAATTTGGCAAGGTTGTTATGCATATTCATGTAGGATGTTAAAACTATGCACATTTTTTCTCATTTCTTGTTTCAGTCCTCAGTGTAAAAACTGGCAATGTCATCATTTAAAATAGAATACGTACCCCCCAAAATAGTACTTTTCATCATACATGTATTGTGCATTAATACCTACCTTAATTACCCATCCATGCTATTGGACCTCCTGATGCACATGCAACAAAGAAAAAATGGTGTGTTATAAGGAAAAGCGGTAACCTGAAGCAAACAAACAAACAAACAAAAAACCCACTAATATTTAGAGTGTATCCTGAAGTTTCCATTGATTTCACATAGCCATCTTGTGGGCTTACAAATCTTGCTTGGGTATGTGACTTCAGTGGCTTCAATAGGCCTGCATGAGATGATCTAGCAACATTTGAAGTCTTTCTGAATTTAGCTCCTTGACACTTACAGTTTGGACAACATTATGCAGAGATAGGTGGGATAACATCTTCGGCTTTCGATACATTCCAGCCTAATTGCATTTGCGTATAGTATGTCTAACTGTTGTTCTTATTCACCGTTTACTTGCATGGGTTTAAGTGTAAGGTGAAGCTTTTTCTGGGCTGTATGCCAGCAAAATTCTCTCCCTTCCACTTTTCTATATACAATTACTTGCAATACCCCAGCAGTACATTTCTCTTCCTTTCTTACATCACCAATTTTAATATTAAGAATTCAGTTAGTAGTACTCCGGAAATCCCAAGTATTGATCTTGTGTGCTTCAGTGCTTGCCAGAAGCATACTAAAGCAGATGTGTCTAATAAAACAATAAACCTGAGATATTTCACACCATTTCAAGAATTTCAAAGCCAGTTGGATTCTCAGCCAAAGTGGTCAGTGCACAGTTGTGATCTCACCTTATACTCCATGAGACAGAGACAGCAGTGAGTCCTTGGGTGAGAAGGTATCATTTTGTTAAGGGTTCACTAGGTCAAAAACAGTGATATAAGCTCTACGCAGACACTTGTTTTCTAGGACATCTGTAGTACAGAGGGCTGATCTGTAAATTAATATTCAGGGGGCCTGAGTGAAGATGCCATTGTCCTCTGTTTAAAAAAGAGTAAGAGGATTTTGCTAGAGACAAGCAAGCAGAAGAAATTATCAATACAGTCCAACAAAGATGCTCAGAAGCATAAAAACATTTGTTGCAATGAATGGTCAAACTTTAGGACTGTTTATTGAAATCTTTTAATAATCTCTTTCTGGAAGTATTTACTGGGAAAAAAGAAAAAAAAAAAAAAAAAAAAAACAGCAGTATAGTCAGCTGAGCAGATGTATTCCGAAACAAGAACATTTTAATTGTTGTCACATGCAAAGTTTTAAAGAACACTTACACTGAGATGTTTCGGTACTTCCACTATGCTTTTTTGTGGGACGGAACTTTCAGATAGAAGTATTTTCTTCCTTTTGACAAATAACCATATGGTGTGCTTTGAGAGCCTTTCTCCTTTCTGATTGCAGACAGAAACACTCCTCTGTGGCCTATCATTAAAGTGTGAAATTTACCTGGGGTTCTTCTAGATGCTGTCATTAATTTTCTCCTGATACTACATCTTAGATTTACAGGCATTGCAACTCGATTTCTGGAAGGAACAGGACAGAAGGGCAGAAAGCCGCTGGGTAAATTATTTCATTAACTTTCAGTGGGACTTTTGTCTAAGGACTGAGGACCTGCCCCTGTGACACAGATCTTTGTGACATTTTCCTGTTTTCCTTCATGGACTAAGAGAAAACTAAAAATACAGAGTTCTATTTAGTTTTTTTATCCACAGTATCCACAGAGGACTGCAACCCACCCTGCAAAAATCAATGCAGTTTTGAGACTAACTGCATGTTTTTCCAACTCCACAGAGGATGGACAAGAGCTAGATTTCCTCATGTTACATGGAGGTGTAGATCCACAGGCACTAAGGCTGCTGAACTCTGAAAATACACATTTCAAAGGACAGCTCGTGAAGTAGAAAAATAACATTGTAATTTCTACAAAGGAGCAGCAGACACCCTGAAGTTCAGCAATTTTGTATATATATATATATATATATATATTTTTAATATTACAAACTAGAACTACATTTACACTGACACTCTACACATTTTTCTTTCTTTCACCCCCACCCTCCTGTTGACTGTCCTTGCCTTTCTCTCTGGTACTTGATAAAGGTATGCAATCACCACTTGCTGCTGAGGACCAATTAGGTGCCAATCAAGTGATGGTGTTACATTTTCTTATTTATTTTTATTTTCCTTCTTCCCCAAATTTTATTTTCCCCCCTTTTCACATTGAGGGCAATTACTCCCATTTTGCCTCCCTCCTCACCTGCATTAAAACTATTTTCACTCTTCCATGTCATGGTTGTTTCTTTTTCAAGTACTTTGGGCAGACCTTCAGATGTTTTGCAGGCCCCTTGCTTTCCCCATCTTCCCCCCTCTGCTTCTCTCACTTCCCCAGTGGAGAAGTCGATTTCTGACGTAGCAGCTATCTCAGTGTTGCAGTGCTGCAGTTTCACCTTCATCCTCAAACCACTATGATTTCATCCCTTCTCTGCCCCCAGGATTTAAGATATTGGGTTACCAAAAGGGGGAGGATGAGATATTCCATAATAACTCAGAAGGCCTGACAAAATTTTGGAAACTTTCAGAGAAAATTTCCAGATAAGTCCTTGTCACCATTAGCTCACTCGTTTTTCCCAGAGGTTTCCTATGTAATGTTCTACAAGGAACTGGTAGAAAGAAAAAGGTAAGACACTGGTAAAATAGCAGGAAATATTTTTTTTGGATTTCTGAAAGATAAATTCCCTTGTGAGAAACTATTGAGGAAATTAAGTGTTAGAGGTTGAAAGGGAAAGTTAAGTTGTGGTTTAGAAACAGAAGTAGTATTGTTTAACAGAAAATTAAAGTGCATTTTTTAGCACAGCATAGCCTTTTTAGATCAGACTTTAAAGTATCATACAGTTACAAATCCAAGGTTTGTAACTGGGTGATTGATGACTACAAATCATTTCTCCTGTCCATAGCTAAGCTGCTAAATCTGGTGCATTGAGCAGTGGCCAATGAGTGGAAAAATCCCAAAGGCAAACTGTGTGTGCGTGGCAGAGGGGGAAGTGGGAGGGGTGGGGAACAGGGACAGGGAGGGTATGTTTTTCCAGAATTATCAGAGGTTTTGAGCCTCTCTGATAGGATTTCATCTGCTCTTGTCCTCAGTCTTGAAATGTGGTGTGCACATTATAGCCAGGATGCTCTCCGGAAAATCTTTATCAGGATATCCCCACTCCTCTCTCACTCACTGCTACCATGACAACTGAAATAAATCAAGAAATGTTTAATGGCCAAAAGGAGAAAGAATGGAGGAAGATGGGGGCATTTAGAAAACAAAACAAAACAACAACAACAAAACATTACTGATTTTTGTAATTTTTTCAAATATGGGTCTGTATACATCTCCTGACCTCTCATATCCTTCTTACCCGTAGATTGTTAGCACTTTGGCATAGGGAGATGTATGTTTGGGCAGCACCTAACACAAGACATCCCTGCTTCTGAAAAAAGAAAAAAAAAAAAAAGTTAAAAAAGTTAATCCATAACAATAAATCTTTCCTTGTCTGATTCCAGGATCCAGTAGAGCCGGAGTTACTGGTTTTACTGCTTTTTTTTTTTTTTAATGCTATAGTAAAACTAAAATTCTTTTAAAATAATGTATAATTAACTTGTGGAATTTGTTGGCTCAGGATAAGAACTTCTTAGGATTTAAAAATAGATTAGATAGTTATAAGAGTTTTATGTGCCTTTACACTAGCCAGGATAAAAGTTCATAAAGGAGGCAAGCTTTCATACTGCAGAACAAAAACCAACTGCTGTCAGAGCCTGCAGGGAAATTTCCCCTGCAGCTGTATAGTGGTCCTTTAAAGATGATTTCTACCTTTGCTGAAGCATTTAGGTGGTGGAGTCTCCCTGGAGAGGATCCTAAGCAAGCTGCTCTAGGTGGCCCTGCTTGAGCAGGGGATTGGACCAGATGGCCTCCAGAGGTCCCTTCCACCCTCAGCTGTTCTCATCTGATCTAGGACTGAAATCAGTGAAATCAGGATAAGGCATGAAAGGGATCACGGCATTTATATGTTGCTAAAGCACAGATGTTACTTTGTTTGGGATGGGCACTTCCAGCCACAGTTGAGACAGTCTAGGAATAATTAAGTTGTTCAGCAACATATAAGGAGTCAGTATAAACTGAGGACAAAAATTAAGGTCAGGCTGGTAGCATATACTTGGCTTATACTTGGCATATACTTGGCTGGAGCATCTTAGGATTTGGCCAGACCTTATCTTTTTATCTCAAAAAAAAAATGTTTTACATAATTAATGTACAGCCCAAACTAGTAATTTCTTCCTCTAGAATTTAGTTAATGTCTTACTAACACATTAACATACATACATATTAGTGTGTGACACACTAATGAACATGAAGATGAGGGGAGATAAAGGTTGCAGAGTAATTTAGTAAGCCTTAATTGTGCTTGAAGAACAATGTTTCTGATTAGTCTTCTTCTTTGGCACTGTTTCCCATTACCTGTGGTCTTTAATTTAAAACTGGTTGTATTAGAAACAGCCTATAGATCAAACAGAAGCATTAAGATTAATGGATACATTGCTAGGTGAAGTTGCATACCCTATGTAACATAGGAGGTCAGAAATGATGATGATTATAATTCATTATCAATTTAAATTCTATCAATCTTCTAAGTGTCCACTCTTCTACAAGCAATTAATTCAGCTGTCTAAAAGCTTATGAGGTACAGTGAGTCCCACAGCTCTTGCGGTAACTCTTGAGTCTGGATGTATGCTAGATAAAATTTTAGGGGAAAAATACATTTTAGCAGTGGGGGAAAACTACTGTAGTACAACAAAATTATGATCTGGGCCTGGAAGAAAAAATGGAACACAAAATATTATTTTGCAGATGTATTCTGTCTGACTCTGAAACAAGTGAGGGTTACATTACATTACATCAAACGAAGCTAAACACTGAACAGAAAAATACAGGTGTCAAACAGAAGTAAAAGAGAGAAGAGCCAGCACCAAAAGCAGTAGTGACGTGCACCTTACCTATGCACAAGCTGTCATAAGGATAAATGCCATGAAAGGCCATGATCTCCAGCATAGTGATCAAGGTAATAAGCTCAAATGTATCTGTGTGTGCTACAGAAGATGTAGACACATGGACCACTCAAAGGGACAGAAGAGAATAACTGGACATTTTGCTCTTAGCCATTAGCTGTCTTCTGAGGAACACTGCAAAGACACTATGAACACAGCTTGAAAATGCAGAGTTATGAGTTTACTGATGACTTGTGGGTTTTCATTTTTACAATGGGGGCCAAAATGAGGCTGTCACTAAGCTGCTTCCCATGTGTGGGTGGAAACCACTAGTTCTCTGTAGACTCTTGGTTTATTTTTCAGTGCATCATTGTCAGTTGGTCAGTCCATTTCCCTGTAAGAATATGGGAGGCGTCTTTCCTGTAGGAGGAGAGGGTAAACTGAAAATAAAACACATCAGATCCCGTGGGAAGTCAAAATAGAGTTGGATGTGTGAATCAGGATTAAGTTTTAAAACCAAAAATAGCAGAATTACAGTTCTTTGTTATCCAGAAATTCTTTAACCTTCTGGCAATATAGTTTTTGTTTGTTTGTTTGTTTGTTTGTTTGTTTGTTTGTTTTCACTTGAGGTATTTCTTACTCATACTGTTTCAAGGTTTGCTGTTTGCAAATTTTTCATCACAGGATGAGATTTTTCTCATCATATGGGAAACTGAAAAAAAAAAAAAGACTATTAATACTACTCTATCACTAAAAAGTCGAGTACAATTATCTTTAAAGCTATGTGCTGTTTTTCTGGTAATTTTACATTATGCTGTGTGACTGCAGCTCTTCAGAGCCTTCTTTCTCCTTACTCACTCTTCTTTCTCCTTGCTCTAAATTCTACAGTGTACCCAAAAGTATCAACAAGCTTGCACTTCCACAAAGAAAAAAATAGTGTTCATCATGTAATTCTGTGATACATACATACGTACATTAGAAAAAGGTTTCCTAATATATGATTTCATTATATACATTTGATGTTTTATTGAAATTCAATTTTCAAGACATTCAAAATAGCAGTGAAAGCTGTATTACCTACCTAGTGCAGACACTGTGAATGAGAAAAAAAATGATTTGAAGTGATTTGATGGCTATAATAGGTAGATGTAGCCAGATAGAGAGTTGAGGCAGAATTCTGCCTGTAGTGCAAAAAGGAGTCTGTGGCTAGGGTTTTCTTCTCCACCTTCTCCTGCTGTTTCCAAGTGCCATGAATTTCTGAAGAGCACCGAGAGAAAGCAACCACTCCTCTGCAGAGGGCATAAGACCTACACAAACTGCTGGCGGCCTCCACTGCGTTACCCAAATGCTGGCTGGGCACACAACCCAGTTTTACTTTGGAACCATCCATAGCTCAGCATGTGCTTTTTTGTTGGTGTTGTCCTTTTGTTTGTTTCTGTATTGTTTCTTCATTCTGGATTCTTTCTTTTACTGAAACGAAGTAATTTAAATTAATTTTTTATATTTTTTTCACTAATATTTAGATTGGTTTTCAAATCCAAAGCATATGCAGGAAGAATAAGTCCTTTTTGTTGTTGTTTGTTTGCTATTTTATTTTATTTATTTTATTTTTTATTTATTTTATTTTTATTTCCAGGGAAATATATTTTCTCCTTTAATCTCTTTCAGCAATAGCAACTGCTGTAGAGACTGCTTGTAACAATAGTAGGCAAGCATTTTTCCATTCCAAACATAGGAATGTAGTCTGATGGTATCCCTTTAGAGGAGTGTATGAAACCTTTAGGTGGCAGCCAAGGGCTACAGTTCCAATCCCCAGATTTATTAGCTGTGTGGTTTATGGCATCTGCTTTGAGTGGCAAAGAGGATATCTAAAAGAAGAGTGACTTTCTAACTCATCCAAAAGCAAAGTGGGAG